GCCGGGGGGCTCCCAGCCATGCCTGGCCCCACGCTCCCCCGGCCTCCATGTCCCCCCGTGTCCCCAGTGCCACCTGGCACTTCCAAAGCATCACCCTGATCATCCCCCTCAAACAGCGCCGCCCCCACTGCTGCGGGGACACCAACAACCCCAGGGACAAGGTCGGAACAGAGGGACAGCCCCGTGGTGCTTCCCCGGGGACGATGCCACCTTCCTGGGAACACTGCCACCCTCCTGGGGACATTGTCACCTTCACAAGGATGCTGCCACCTTCCCGGGGACATAGCCACCTTCCTGAGTACATTGTCACCTTCCCAGGGACGTTGCCACCTTCCTGGGGACATCACCACCTTCCTGATGACAGTTCCACCTGTCCATTACCACCTTGCCAGGGACATTGCCACCTTCTTGAATACATCGTCACCTTCCCAAGTACATCACCACCTACCCAGGGACACCGCCACCTTCCTAGGGACACCACCACCTTCCCAGGGACAGTTCCACCTCTCCAGCGACACTGTCACCTTCCCGGGGACATCACCACCTTCCCAAGGATGCTGCTACCTTCCTTAGGGACAGTTCCACCTTCCCAGGGACACTGTCACTTTCTGGGGACATTGCCACCTTCCTCAGGACACTGTCACCTTCCTGGTGATGTTGCCTCTTTCCTGATGTCAGTTCCACCTTCCTAGAGGTACTGTCACCTTCCTGGGGACATTGCCACCTTCTCTAGTACATAACCACCTTCCCAGTGACAGTTCCACCTCTCCAGGGACATTCCCACCCTCCTGGGGCCATCATCACCTTCCCAGGAAAGCTGCCACCTTCCCAGGGACAGTTCCACCTTTCCAGGGATATTGTCACCTTCCCAAGGACACTGTCACCCTTCTTGGGGTCATCGCCACCTTCCTGGGGCCATCACCACCTTCCCAGTGATGGTGCCACCTTTCCAGGGACATTGCCACCTTCTTGAGTACACTGCCACCTTTCTTGGGGACACTGCCACCTTCCTGGCGACACTTCCACCCTTCCAGGGATGATGTCACCTCCCCGGGGTCATCCCCCCTCCCCGGGGCCATCTCCC